ACATGCTACTTAGAGACAGCCCTTTACAATGTATATATTCTCAGACTTTCTCCTCCAAGAAGATGGTGGATTAAGTTTTTTTTGAAGGTAACAATATCTAGAAATGCTTACGTAAAAAAAAATCTCCAGAATTCAGAAACGAGGAGGGAATTGGAGGTCAGAATGTCATGGCTCTGAGCTGAAGCTGCTGCTTCACTAGGGAAGGCTTACCAGTCTTATGAAAGTGGAAACTTCTTTAAAAACATATTTGGTCAAGGTCTTGAGCCCAGAAAAAGAAAAGGAGTGCTCCAACCTTAGATAAAGGCATGTCTTTCCAAGAGTTAAATTCTCTTTAAAATGAGCAGAGAAAGGTAGCTTTTCTCTGCTTAGGGTCTTGCTGAAAAAAATAAAAATTTCCTCGAGAAATAGAAACTCTTGGATGAGACTGCAAAAGTTTGAGATCTGGCTTTAAAGCACCGATGGGAAATGTAGGAAATGGAAAAAAAAATTGGTGAGCATCTGGTCAAACTCTACCTACATGAGAAAATTTGAAACAGTATTAATTAGAAATGATATAACTATAGAGGCATTGGTTCTTTTATTTTATGTAAATAGATGACAGAGAGAGAGATTGCCTATGTTGTTCAGACACTCTTCCCAATGTTGGAGATGAAGGGAATGAACAAAAACCCCAATGTTCCTACCCATGTAGACAATACAAACCCTACCTGTGGAAACATACAACAAGCACCTAAATAAGGATTGTCAAGCACTCTAGAAATAAAGCAATGAAAGCATGCAGAGAGGTGAGAGTTGCTGTATAAGATAGGGTGTTCAGGGAAGTTCCTCCTGCCCCCAACCCCACAAGGTGACTTTTGAGAGAGGCCTTAACCTTCGTGTTGCTAAGTACACTTACGTGTTTATACTTCATCTTGTTTGATCTATTGATAGCATTTAGACCTGTGGCTCATTATCTCAGTTTTGAAAAAAATTGCTTTTCTCCACGTCCAAGGCACCGCCCTCTATTATGTTTTTCTACCTCACTATTTCTTATCACTGCTGTAACATAACAACACAAACGTCATGACTTAAAACAATATGAATTTATTATTTTGCACTTGTAGAGGTCAGAAGTCCAAAAGCAGTCTCACTGAGCTAGCATCCAGGTGTCAGCAAGGCTGTGTTCCTCTCTGGAGGCTGGAGCGAAGAATCTTTCCCAGTTTCTGAAGGGGTTCCACCTTCCTTGGCCGCGGCCTCTTTCCTCTGTCGTCAAAACCAGCAATTTCGCTTTTCTCTGTGCGTTCTTCAGGAGTCACATCTCCCTCTGACTCCTGTCTCCTCCTTCCCCTTTTAAAGGCCTTTGGGATTACATTGGGCCTACCAGATAATCCAAGGATCAGCACCCCATTTCAAGATGCTTAAAGAGATCTACAAACTCTCTTTGCCACCAAAAAGAGACCCATATATCCATTGGCTCCAGGAATTAGGATGTGGAGATTATATATATATATAATTTGGGGCATTATTTTGTCTCTCATACCGACTGCTTTTCTCAGTTTTCTTCCTACTCTCTCTGGCTTTTAACATAGAATGCCAGGGCAGATGTACAGCTATAGTGACAGTTCTAATCCTGAAAAGAGTGATTGGTGAATAGCCTTAAAAATAACCTTACCAATGACCCTGAGCCCCAGATATTTCGGCCTCCTGCCCTGGGTCCTGACCTACCCTGAGGACCTTACATACCCAACTCACCACTTAAAGTAAAGAATAAATGTCTGGCCTAGCTGGTAGCTTTGAGGACATGACCCAGCACTGTGACCAGGGTCCATTTAGATTTTTCATTCCATACCAGTTGTTACCTGTTTTGAACAGTGTCTCTGGGAGTGCCTATAATAAATTCATAATTGTTTTAAGTAATGATGTTTGTGGTGTAGGCTTAATTCCCATTAGGGGTATGTGGGAGGCAGCCAATCAATGATTCTCTCTCATCATTGATGTTTCTATCTCTCTCTCACTTTCCCTTCCTCTCTGAAATCAATGAAAATGTATTTTTTAAAAGGTTTATTTTATTTTATTTTTAAATATATTTTATTGATTTTTCACAGAGAGGAAGGGAGAGAGATAGTTAGAAACATCGATGAGAGAGAAACATCGATCAGCTGCCTCCTGCACATCTCCTACTGGAGATGTGCCCGCAACCCAGGTACATGCCTTGACCGGAATCGAACCTGGGACCCCTCAGTCCACAGGCCGACGCTCTATCCACTGAGCCAAACCGGTTTCGGCGAAAATGTATTTTTTAAAAATATGTTTACAAAATTATTTTTAAAATATATTTTTTAATAATTACAAAATTTTAGCCATGTCACTTATACTTCTGCTCCCAACCCTCCTTTGCTTCCCGTCTTCCTCAGACTAACAATCAATGCCCTTACTTTGGCTTAGATCATCTTTACAATCTTAGCATCTCCTGTTTTCTCTCATAATCTGCCCTCACTTGCCCTTCAGCCACACTGACCTCCATATCATTCTTCAAATAAGCCAGGATGCTCTCTGCATCTGGAATATTCTTCCTTGCTCTTTGGACTTGCTGTTCCTTGTGTCCAGAACATTCTTTCCACAGATATCCACGCAGCTTGATTTTTTAATTTCTTTCACTATTTACTTCAATATTACCCTGTCATAGAACACTTTCCTTGACCACTGTATTAAAACTTGGGCATCTTACCTTTTCAGTTCCCTCGTCCTGTTTTTATTTCCCCTTAACAATCCCACTTTCTAATATACTGTATATTTTACTTAAATTATGCTTTTTATTTTGTGTCTCCACCCACTAGGATATGAACTCCATAAGGGTAGATTTTAGTTTGGTTTGTTTATTTCTTAGTCCAGGGACTAGTGCAGGGTTATAGCCTCATGTGTAGTTAAAACTTTAAAATTCATAAAAATAAAAACTCAAAGTTTAGAGATGTGAAACTGTAATACACTAATAATGAGAGTATAAAGCAAGTTCAACTTTTCTATAGAAAATTAGTCAAAAATATATCACAAGCTATAAATATGCATATATTATGGTAGAGTAAGTCTCTTTATTAAAAGCCATCCTAAGGAAATATTTAATAATGCATACATATATTTAGAAATAATACATGTCAATATTTAAAAATAGCCATTAAGCTTGTTTTTAATAGTGAAAAAATTTTAAGTCAATACCCTCAAATTTCCAAAATAGAAGCTTTTAAAGGAAAGGCAGTATATTCATATAATGAAATACTATGCAATCATTGAATTCATATTTAGATAAATACTTATTGATCTGGGAACTATTAACAATATGCTGATAAGTGGATAAGAGCAGTCTATAAAAAGAGTATGCTGAATGATGTCATCTTTGAAAAAAAAAAGATGTATATTCTTATATATTAGCTTAAGGAAATGGGCAATTGTTAATGTGGTTTCTAGAATAGATTGCGTATGCCCTTCTTATTTATCTGATTTGTTAAATTTTCTTTTTATTTATTTTTTATTTTTAAAAATATATTTTATTGATTTTTTACAGAGAGGAAGGGAGAGGGATAGAGAGTTAGAAACATCGATGAGAGAGAAACATTGATCAGCTGCCTTCTGCACACCCCCCACTGGGGATGTGCCCACATCCAAGGTACATTCCCTTGACCGGAATCAAACCTGGGACCTTTCAGTCCACAGGCCTATACTATCCACTAAGACAAACCAGTTAGGGCATAAATTTTCTTTTAAAATAATGATCACATAGTACTTTTATCCTGAGAAAAATAAAAATTACGTTTGTACTAATCTTCAAAAAGCTATTAGTATTATACATGTAAAGGATTTTCAAGTGGGAATTGTATATAAATATATAGCATCTTATAGGTTTATGATGAATGTCCTGCATTAATAAGTAGGGACTAATGTACAACATTTATTTATGGAATAGTCTGTTGAGGATATTTCAGTCTTTAGAACCCTAACATGTGGAAGCTGTGTGGCCATAGGTATGACTGTATTGAAAAATGCATTTACCATGACTGATGACAAGAGAATTACATTTATGTCATGCAATTAAACTAACATTTCACCTCAGAGATTTGAATAAAAACTAACCCACCTCCCGCCCCCTCTGTTTCTAGTCAGTACTTTTTTGGTAGTAATACACAAAGTACTGTTGAACAGAAGAAGTGGAAATTCCCAATCTGGCCAGAATGGAATGAAATTGACATAAATGCAGAAAAGTGGGATGCAGGCAAAGGTGGAAAAGAAAAGGACAAAGCGGGAAAAAGCCCTATATTTGTAAGTAAATTTGAAGGTGACTAGGTTTCATTTTGGTCTTTAACTCTAACATAGAAAAAGATTTACTAACCTGTAAGTGTACTTTTCTCTCCATTCAAAAGAGAACTTCTGTTTTGTTCTCCCTCATCCTACCTTGTCATCCAACCTTGGTCTTGAGCTCTGGTGAATCACCCTTGAATAAATGGGACGAGGGAGATGACCACAGAGGTATAATGAAACAAAAGGGAAATGGATAGGACAGGTGAGCTAGTGGGTTTTGGACGGAGGTGGGAGCCAGGATTTCCTTAACCAGCTGTGATTTAGAAAATGAGAGACCTCTGCAGATTTGTGAACTGTTATTTGGAGATTACAGGAAAGATTGGAGAGAGAGAGAGAGAGAGAGAGAGAGAGAGAGAGAGAGAGAGAGAGAAATGTGAGAGCAAAACATCGATTGGTTGTCTGACTCCTGCTGGGGATCTAGCCTAAAACCTGGGCAATGTGCCCTGATTGGGAATTGAACAGAAATCAAACCGGCAACCTTTTGGTGCAAGGGATGATGCCCAACCAACTGAGACATACCACCAGGGCTATTTTACATATTTAAACAGCAGTTCCAAACTTATGAAGACTGTGGGTGAGTTTACATCAGGAAGATGTGCAAATCCTTAGTGAAGCAGTTGAGCACCAGCCCAAACCCTGGTTATTACAATAGTGCCAAGTGGTACCATCTGGGGAAGAACCTTGCTCCCCTACCCCAGTTCTGTTCCTCAATGTCAGCATTCATGGCTTGGGAAGCAGCAGTCCCTCCACTGGAGTGAGTCGTGCACACTCCAAGGCTGTGCTTACATTTCTGTGATATATTGGCATAAGAGCTCTTAGCCGTGATTTGCAACATTGATTTTTTTAATCAGGATTAATTGCCTTAGACATCAAACCATAGCAGATATCCCCGAAACGTTCCAGAAGGCCACTACTTTGGATGTGAAGCTAGTGATCAGGGTATCAGCCTCAGATGGACTAAACCTTCTTTGCAAGCCCAGAGTCTAGTCCCCTTCTTCAGCTAAGTGATGGCAATGAAAGGATATGATGGGTGTACCAAACTGAGAAGTATACGATGAAGTATTGCAAGGTGGATATAAGAAATATACCGAAAGTAAAGTGAAATGGAAAAGTTACCATTAACTTAATGTGAGGGGCTCAAATCCTATAGAAAAGGGAATCAAACCAGGATGAGCCCACATTTGCCTTGGTTTAGTTTATTTGTTTCTCTCAAAGACATTTACTAATTTAAGACATGGTAATTAGAGTCCAAGTACATACTAATGCCTTGGTGCTCATATCAGAAGGGAGAGAATCATTAAGGGCTGCCAAAGTAGGCAGAACTTGTCCAAAATCCCAGAGGTAACTACAGATAAATGATCTGAAAATTTTGCATATAATTTTATTTTACATTTGCCTAACTTCTAAGCTATGTATTTGGAGCTTTTGCTGCTGAGAAAATGAGTAAAAAGTTAGCAGTTTGAAGGCTAAATTACTGAGAAAAGAATTAGAGAATTCCTGGTGCTATTGCCAGAAATTGGAATTTAGGGTACACCAAAGGAAAGGACCCCAATAAACCCTCCATCCTTTCAGATAGGACTCCACTGTGCCTATAGTGTTCTGTATTGAGGAAGGGCAAACCGAATTTACACCAGCCTTACCAAATCCTGAGGCCCATTCTTGACTGGGTCAAGTTCGTCTTGACTCTGCCTGCCAGAAGAGGATAAAATCCTCCTCTCTGGAGGAAGACATTATCATTTAGAGCCTATAAAAATTATGTTCAGTGTATAACATACAATCAATTTTACTAGACATGAAGATAAATAGAACCAAGCAACTGAAAACCAAGAAGAAAAATCAGGTAATATAAACAGAACCACGGGAGGCTCTGATTCTTGAATAGCCAGATAGAGGACTTTAACCAAATTAATATTTGCAAGGGAAAAAACCATGGGAGGGAACCCCAGAAGTCTAATACAGCTTCTGGAAACCTCAGCCTATTGTAAAAAAAAACTCATTCGTGAATCATTTAACTAGATGTTGGGGTTGCCTTTGTCTCCATCCAAATTATCCCAGTATCTTAAATGTGTCAATAAATCACATGCTCCAGATACATATTCTGGTAGACACTTAGCTTTAAAGTTCAGATGATGCCCTCAAATATAACCCATTCTCAGGACACTCCAGCATTGGGATAAAAATATGATTACCATGAACATCACAAAACAGTATTTATTCTCCCTCATCCCCATTCATGCATATGAAATTTAGTTACCTTTTCCCTGTGCAGATAGTTCATATTTCTTAAGTATCTTGTTTGTACTCCTACCACTTTTCATATTATTTCTTGTAAGGAGTTACACACACACACACCCTTATGAACTGTGAAAACTTTTACACAGTAGCTGCCTCTCTAATTTACTAGACCACTAATAATTGCGAGTAGACTCTTAGATATCATTTTTTTCTTCAGAGCTCATTAATTGACCTCAAAATTGAATTAATTTAATCTGGGGCATTTATCCCAGGAAAATGTAAATATGTTCACATAGAATCTAGAACCTGTATACAAATGTTCATCGCAACTTTATTAGTAACAGCCTTGAACTGGAAACTGTCCAGATGTTCTTCAATGGACAGATGGTAAGCAAACAAATATCCATATCAGGAGCTATTGCTCAACAATAAACAAGAACAAACTATGGATACATACAACAACTTGGATGAAATGAATCTCCAGAGAATTAGGCTGAGAGGGGAGAAAAGCAGGTCCAAAAAGCTACATACTTTATGATTCAATTCATATAACATGATGGAAATGGCACAATTACGGAAATAGGACCCAGATTAGTGATTGCTTGGGAATGGGAAAAGAGAAAGCAGGAACTCTCATATTATTTCACACAATGGCATGTGAATGTATAATTATCTCAAAATAACAACTTTAATTAAAACAATAAATGAAAGTCAAATCAAAGGTACACATTTCATATACATATTGTCTTGTTTATGGATTCTAACAGTTGACAAGTAAACTTGTTCAATTTTCTCTATTAAGTTAAAAACAACAACAAAATGAAACAGTATTTTCAGTGGGTAGTAACTCCATATCTGGCCTATCCAAAATTGTTTTCCCTCCATTCCTAATTCACATTCCAAAGAAGCTCATGCTTGCTTGTACTGTTTCGTCTGCAATCAAAATGCTACTCGGCAATCAAGGTTTCATGAATTAAATACAGAATCATTAACTTCTAGTATTTCCCAAATACTCCATAAACTAGCTCTGAGAACAAACATACACAATACTCTATAAATGCCTTTTTGTTGATCTATGCATTATTAATTCCTAAGATTGAGCTGTTTTTATTTTAATAAAACCATATGGAGATAAAACTCAATATATTTTTTATGTAGCATTGTTTTGAAGACCCTGAAGGCAAGATTGAATTACCACCATCACTGAAAGTTTATTCCTGGAAACGTCCACAGGATTTTTTATTTAATCGGGTAAGAAGAATTTTTATTATTAAACAAAATACATATTAATGATGGTATGTAATGTGTTAATTATGAAAATCTACATTTTTAAACAATTTAGGATAATTTTTTCTTGTGGTACTCAATAATAATAAGTAATTGCGTTTTGAATTTAAATTAGAAATAAATGTTTATCAGTATGGTTGAATATTGCTTGTACTGATTTCCAAAAGAATATTAAAATTTTGTTTAGAGCCCCCAGTTTTCTTTTTCTCCTCCCCATGATGTCACATTATAGCCCTTAATTTCTGACAGACTTTCTACTTTTTAGCAGGAACTTATATGGCATGAAGGTCTGTTTACTTCAGTATTTATTAGCCTTAATTTTCAAGCCCAAGAGACTTGCATTTGGATCTCTCTTTCCCAGGGATTGTTGAAGCACTTTCCAAGGGTCACCTTCATTTCTGGACCCTACACCCAGCCCTTTCGTCATATTGACTAGGACGTCATCTGAGAAACCTTTCTGTAAAATAGCACTTATGTACACGAAATGTCAGACTCACTGGTCTATCTTCCTAATAGCTATGTTCATTTAAATATATTTGTTGTTTCCAAGTGCTTAATTATCATTAATGCCTTTTTTTCCCTTCTTGGATCTTCTATTATTTTTAATGCATAGAAAATCAGTAAGCTTAATTAGTTACTAGTTAGCTAGTCAAATGGTTGTAATGGAGCTGATTCTTGTATACATTATGGAATCCATTAAATCTCTGTTTCTACACAAAGTGATTTTAACCCAAAAGTTTTATCCTTTATAAGCACTACCAATGCAAGAAAATATAATTTATCCACCATATTTTTCAATTACTGTTACTAGATGAGGAAGTCAGATAATCCTAAATTTAAAAATACTAAAATGAGAAAATGGAAAGATACATTTCTCTTCATCAGAGTAACTATGGAATGTCTACTTGTAAGACATTTTAAATGTAAGGAATTAAATATACATGAAGCATGCCTATAAATTCCTTACAATATTAAGTAATGTTGACATAAAGACAACAAATTTATGAGGTTAATATAATGCACTTAATATAAAGATATTATTAATAATATTCAAGCTCTGCTCAATTTAACTGCAGAATTTGCATTCCATGCAAATAAAGGATATGAATGCCATGAAATGGGAGTGTCATAGATTTGAATAAGTAGAACAGTTTTATAAACCATATTTTGTTCTCTTTAGAATACCTTATTTCTGAGAGATACACTTATACTAAAAATAAATTAATTGATTATTATTGATACTTCCACCAACATTTATCATAATATTGCCATCCCTCTACCTCTGCTCCCCCTGGGCACTGTCTTCTTTTGATCCATCATGTTGGCGTGTGGACAGACAGAACTGAAAGTCTAGCTCTGTGGGGAAATCTTCAGATAGTGTTCTTCTAGTTTTAGTGTCTAGGCCCACCGTGATAAATACATTTTATACTGAGACTAATTAAATATAGACATATATAAAGTTTAGACAAAAATTCTGCAAAAATAGTAATGGCCTTTCTATATAAAATTTACTCTATTTCAGTCTACTCAGAAAAATAGGTAGATAGATAGATAGATAGATATAGATAGATAGATAGATAGATAGATAGATCATTCTCTGGTTGTGAGAAATGAAATTGGGTTTGGCCTGTGGACAGTGCATGAGCTACATATCCTTTCTATTTTCTAAGGAATAATATCTTCTTTAAAATATTTTATTTCAGGTTCCAGTAGTTGTAAAGAATGAAACCACGTTTGACTTGTTTTCAGTAAATGAACATTTACTCTGCAGTGAGGTATGTACAGAAGCACGAACTAAAGCCTCATTGCAAAATGCCTTCCAGCTTAAGCAATTCCCAGTCTCACTTCTCCTTTGCTCACCTTTAAGTTTTGGTATAACTGAGCTGTTAATCCTCTGGACATTCAAAGGGAAAGGGAAGCCCCTTTGAGTTCAGCATGCAGATTGTGGGAGTTGTTAGTATCAGCACTGCTTGTTCCCCTCTTCTGCCCAGGTACTCGCGTCTCACAATCTAGGGCCCCAGGGGTGGGCAAACTTTTTGACTCAAGGGCCACATGGGTTCTTAAACTGGACCGGAGGGCCGGAACAAAAGCATGGATGGAGTGTTTGTGTGAACTAATATAAATTCAAAGTAAACATCATTACATAAAAGGGTACGGCCTTTTTTTTCAATAGTTTTATTCATTTCAAATGGGCCGGATCCGGCCCGCGGGCCGTAGTTTGCCCACGGCTGGTTCTCCTCCAGCTCTACTTGCCTGGCAATTGACTTAAGTTGTTCTCTGAGAGAGAGGGGGGTGTTACATAGTTTTATTTGCTAATGTGGGGGAAATCATGGGGTGCGGTTTGATTGCAACACCTCCTCTAAACAAGCCAGATACTCAGCACAGTGGCCCTAGTTCCTGTGGGAATGCACTTCCCACCTCCCCACCTTGCCCTTTATCCATAGAAGCGGACTTGTTCCCCTTCCCCAAGGCAGTTATTTCAGAGACAGGGGATTTTTGAACGTTTTCTTTTAAGATCAGTTAGAAGAGTGGAGCATAGTCATTATTGATTTAAACCCTTTGTTCTTTCTTATGCTTAGTGTCTCAACAAAATTATCTCCAAATTTATGAATCCTAAACATATATAGACTTTGGCTCTTTTATTTTTCAAGAGAGGAAATTATAAAATAATATATAGTATTTTCATATATATAAGAAGATACCTGATTGGCCTATTTCAACTTAACCAAAATTTAAGAAAGTTCCTAGATAAAGCAAATTAACAAAAAACATAAATCTTATGAGATCAGTTTCAAGTATTTAATCTGTAAATACCAGTCAGTAAAACATGAGATGAATATTTCAAAAAAGCTAGTACTACTGAGGGTAGTAATGGCTTTCCTCAACACCCACTGTGACACATAGATTTCTTATGTATTGTTGCTATTACAAAGAAGGCTAAAAAATAAATAGTTTAATCTACTTTTAATAGATGAAAAACTGAAATTGATAGAGGCTGAAGTGACTTACTCAAGAACAGAAGGATCTGTAGGAGGATTCAAATCCTGGTCTCTATTTCTACTCCAAAGCTCAGCTCCCCACTGGGCCTTCCTGCACGTTTTAACACTGCAAGTGGGAGTTTCACTTGGAGCATTTCTGCATCTATAGATGAACACATGAAATATGAGTTTAGAGTATATTTAAGTATGTGTGCAATTTTAATTCTTTTCATGTCTCATTCCTTGTCTAATTAGTCCTATTGATAAGAGATTTTTTTTTCTCAAACTTCTCAACATTTACAGAGAAGTAGCTCCCTCATTTATAAAAAGTTAATTCCAAAGTAAATCACTGTTTTCAGGAGCATTTTCCCTCTCTCTCTCTCTCTCTCTCTCCCTCTCTCTCAAACACACACACACACACTCACACACACACACACACAGAATTCAAATGAAGGTCAATGTCAAATGGAGGTCATTGAAAGTTTACTCTGGAAGACAGACCTTAGCTAAGAGTATGTTTAATATTACATTTGTTAGTCTGTAATATGACAATACTTCCCCCAAACAAAAGCAAGATGTATGACTTTATTCTGTAGGTCAGAAATGAAAATGTGAACACATTATATATGAATTTAATATTATTATTGGAAGAAGGTTTTAAACTAATTTCTCACCTAAATTACAGTGCCAACTGAAATTAACTAATTAACACTAATGGTTTTTGTCTATAGTTGATGAGATGGATTATCAGCGAAATCTATGCAGTGTGGAAGATATTCAATGGGGCTATTTTGAACAATAGCTTTAAAGGGACTACAGGGGAACCTCCTGTTCCCATCTGGAAGCCCTGGGAACACATCTACTCTCTGTGCAAAGCTGTGAAGGGTCACATGCCTTTGTACAATAGCTACGGAAAGTATATTGTGAAACTATACTGGATGGTAAGTTCATGTTCGTGTGCATTGACATTCATTTTCTTTAATATTGAAATACGTCTGCCTACAGGCTGATACCTAGGCGAATATAAAATGAGGCAGTTTGTGCAGGATATCAATCCAGTAGCTAGTGGGAGGAAATGTCCTGCATTCGTAATTTGGGATTAATAAGAAACAGTTGTTTCTCCTGTGATACCAGTTCCCTGTGCTTTTTAAACTGGTGCTTCATGAACCAGTTTGTGGTTCAGGCAGGCAGGCTGCACAGGCAGGTAGATGCACGGGGCTGTCTCCCTTCCTCTTTTCTCTGCGATGTGCTGTCAGGGTCATGAGCAGGAGGAAGTGCTGGAGCATGGTCACTCCGCTCCTGGCACTTGCTGCTGTTGAGGAAGCTGATGCCATTGTTTTGTGTTTTTAGGTGTGTGTGTTTTTTGTCCTAAACTTGAGATCTCTTTTCATGTTAACAAACCTTACAGTGACACAGAAAGTTTTACCTCTGCCTAAAAGGAAGCCAGTGGGATAGTAAGAAGTACAAACAGAGAATCAAAAACCCCTTCATTATTAGGACAAAGTAGACTCACACCACAGGTAGCAATGCTAGATTATATTAGACACCTTTGGGTTGTTCATGGGGAAATTTCTCTTTCTAAAGACCCAGAGTCCCAGGCAAGACCAGCTACAGGATTTGCAGGTCTCCTTGTTCAAAAATGTGTTAGAAATTTCAAGGCAGTAATAGCAGCACTTTAAACCAAATATGAGGCCCTTCTGAGCGTGGGGTCTTGTGTGAAAGGTCATATACCCATGAAACTGACCCTAGACACTGAGAATGTTCTTGTACATTTGAAGAAGTGGGCAAAGCATGAAGAGTTATACATTCCATTCTACATATCTAGGAACATGATTTTTTCTTAATGAGGCCAAGCCATCCATCTGGCCGCGATACAGGACGTTGAAAGACCAATGCTTAGAATTCAAAAGGACCATTACAGTGGGAAGGTGAAAGTAAAGAAGACAAGTTTAGCTACTATTTTCCAAAATAAGATTTGGGGGTTTGTTTTTTATATTCACAGCAAGACAGTAGACCTTGAAAGTGAAAATGTTGTTAGAAAAGCCCAGCCCGTGTGACTCAGTGGTTGAGCATCAACCCATGACCAGAAGGTCACAGTTCAATTCCTAGTCAGGGCACATGCCTGGGTTGCAGGCTCAAGGCAGCCAATCAGTGATTCTCTCTCATCATTGATGTTTCAATCTCTCTCCTCTCCCTTCCTATTTCTGAAATTAATGAAGTCATATTTTTTAAAAAGTTATTAAAAGAGAAAATAACTTCTTAAATTCCATTATCTATTTATTTATCATCAGGAGGTAGACTGTGCAGAGGTGTGAGAGGGAGGCTACGGCATTGAGAAAGTGGATTCCCAGTAGATAGTGTTGAGGGATGATGGAAAGAAGGTAAACATGGAAAAAAGGAGGTCAGATGTCTGGGCATTTGGCCCCCAGGTCTGCACATTCACCTAAACCTGACTTGAGATGGAATTTGAAGGTATTAAGAATTTCAAAACAGCATCAGCAAAACATTAAACCAATGGTATTAGTTTCAACCTCAATCTTTCTCTCTCTCTCTCTCTCTCTCTCTCTCTCTCTCTCTCTCTCTCCCCCGCCCCCGCTGTCTCTCTCTCTCTGCTTCCTGACATCCTTCCTTCTTTTCAAATTTCCTTCCAGACAGGGATCAACATTTATTAATACTACATTCCATTTTGCATAGAAAAATGTGATTTATTTCTCTTTAACTATACTGATTCCTAACTATCCCAAACCTACTTAGATTCAGATATTTTTAAAAAAAATGTGTAGATAACATAGTCAGTCCTTGAGGTCTCAGAGCCTCTCTATATGAAATTTAAAGTTCAGATTTTCATTCCAGGTTTTCCCATAAAGGTATTCCCATTATTTCCAGTTTGGATTCTAAGTAAACAGCATCAAGGTTCTTTGACACCAGCCAGACAAGAATGTACTGAGTAGCATAAAGAACAGCGTTACAAAACAGAGCAGTTTTCTCTTCTTTCACTGCAGTGATGACACCACTACTGGGATCTATACAGTCTGGTCATGTACTTTTCAATGTCAGCATTCTCATTCTTTTGGCTCCTTGAAAGAAACAAATTCATTATTGCTTTCCACTTGAAATATTCGTTGCTCTTGGCAGCCTTTCCATGATTGTCCCAATGCTTCCATTTGTCTCTGAAGAAACAGAAAACACACACATTGGGACCAATAATTTTCCCCAGTTGCCATCAATCTATTGGTATAAAAAAATGTATTAGTTTTTGTTTCAGATTAAACCTTGTACTTTTTAAAAATATATATATTTTATTGATTTTTTACAGAGAGGAAAGGAGAGAGATAGAGATAGAGAGTTAGAAACATCGACGAGAGAGAAACATCAATCAGCTGCCTCCTGCACATCCCCCACTAGAGAAGTGCGCGCAACCCAGGTACATGCCCCTGACCGGAATCGAACCTGGGACCTTTCAGTCCGCAGGCCAACGCTCTATCCACTGAGCCAAACCGGTTTCGGCTAAACCTTGTACTTTTTAAGGACAATATTATTGTAGAATTCAGTTTATTTTTTTTATAGATTTTTATGGATAAAGAAAGAGAGAGAGAGAGAGAGAGAGAGAGAGAGAGAGAGATCAATTTGTCGTTACACTTATTGATGCATTTGTTGGTTGATTCTTATATGTGCCCTGACCAGGAATCAAACCTGCAACCTTGGCGTGTTGGGAAGATGCTCTAACCAACTGAGCTACCCAGTTAGAACCTGAATCCAAAGTTTCTTAAACTGTGGGGGTGCAGAAAACCCTAAGTGCTTCCCATGGCCCAGCCCAGACCCCCTGAGTCAATCTCTAGGGAGGTGCTAATCTAGCCTTTGCCTGAGGCTATCCTGCAAATGCCTCTGTGTAAGGCTTGGGTGGGGCAGGTCCCAGGGGATCTGCAGGGCGGGCTGAGCGAGCAGTTATGGCTGCTCTCAGTCCCGTCCCCAGAGGCTCTGCCTCTCAGAGGCCCTGCCTCTCAGAGTCCCAGCAACCGCTGCAAACCTCGGAGAGAAAGCTGCCCTCGAGTTCCAACCAATGCCAGACAGTCCCACTTCTCCCGTTTGAGTCTGGGTCCCCAGAGACTCGCCTGGAACTGGAGCTCAGAGCCTGAGACTCCCTCCCAATTGAAACAGACAACTGCACCCTCAGCTGCCAGCCCGAATGCACCTCTGCACCATTGTATTTTCCTCACTGAGCCTCCTCTGAGTCTCGGTATGCTTTTCTCTTTCCTTCTAGTTGTAGAATTTCCCCTCAGCCAGCCTTCCTGTGGTTCTGGGTGATGTCCGTTCCATCTTTTAGTTCTAAGTCTGTTAATTTTTGAGGGGGAGGGATTCCTCTCCCTTTTTCTGTCCTTCTGTGAGCTTCTTGAACATTTTGTAGGATTCCATTTTGATTTATCATCTATTAGGAAAGAAAGAAAAAGATATATAACCATTAAACTAGCCAATATAAGTTTAGAGTTACAAGTGTCATACAAATAAAGCATTTTTTTTACTCTATTACTCCTATCTACCTGGGGAAAATATACGGTTTCTTGACTTTTAATTTCAAATGTCTCCTTCCTGTGAAGACATTAGCAAAATTAGTTATACTTTCTTTTCTGGTCCTAGAGCACTTTGAACATAGGGAATTTCATATTGTTTGCATATACTTCTTTCCTTGCTAAACTATAAGAATTCAGTGGTATTGGCTATGTGTTATGTCAGTCTTTGGATTCACAATGCTTGTATCACTGCTGAAAATAGTCATTGGGTAAAGGAAGAATTCTATAATAAATTCTATATGTAAAACCAACATTAACAAAAAACTTGGAGTTCGTAATCATTAATGCTATCATTGCTTCAAACTTTTAATTATGAAGGAATATGCATATAGGTGAATGTATAATGATTATATTAAATAAGGTATTAATTAACTTCATGTTAAAAATTAGGTCTTTAATTACAAGTGGGAGTAATATGATCATTGGAAGCATAAAATCATTGAGCTTAATAAATAATAATTACTAAAGTTACATTTGGATAATTTTTATTGTGACTATATTAAATTATTTAATTATGCTCAAATTCATTCATGGTTGTATATGTTTTGATTCTGTTATTTGAAACACTTTAATTTACTGCATTATGTAGGATGGGACATCCAAGGATATGCTTACCAGGCCTCATAAATAAAGACAGATGCTTATCTTTGTCCTTATTTGAATGCACTGTAATTACATTAAGGAAAATAAGCCCAAACCCTCAGCCAGAGTAGTATTAAAGACTAGTATGTCTCTATTTATATGTAAGAAGTTAAAATAAAATTATAAAACAAAAAATATAAAACAGTAAATAATAATGTCAGTAGTATACAAGGTGGAGCAAAGTAGGTTTACAGTTGTTTGAAAAATAATACAATAATTAATAAATAATAATCTAAGAATAAACTCTGTATCACATACAATTACAAACCTATTTATGCCCCCCCCTCGCCCCCTGCATAATGATGTATGAGTGAAAAGAACATAAATCATGGATGATATATTTCTTTCTTCTCATTTTTAGGGTTGCTGGAGAAAGATAACCGTTGATGACTTTCTGCCTTTTGATGAAGAACACAATCTATTGCTTCCAGCTACAACTTGTGAACTTGAACTCTGGCCCATGCTTTTGTCTAAAGCTCTCATTAAGCTGGCAAATGTTGAGTATGTAGAAAGTGGAATTATCTCTCACTTGTATAAAAACAAAAAGGCAAACCACAGTAAAAACAACAGTACCACATCTATATTCCACAGCTTTATTTTTTTGATTAATTTTTAAAAACTTTCTTTTCAAACAGTGTAAATTTTCTTATGTAAAAATGGATAGGCCAAAGTCATTAATTTGAAGTATTGGGTTAGCTAGCAATCAAATAAAATTCCCCCCAGTAAAAGCAGTCAAGAAAACTATTCTATACTCAATGCTCTCTATGAATGGAAAGTCAATCACAGAAATAAATGCTTCAGCTTAAGGGGAGAAAGAAGTTGTTTTGTAGAGGACAATACTGGCTCATCCAAATACTGAATAATATGCTGGGATCCAGTTAAAGGGTTAATTCTGTCTATGCAACAATAATGTGCTGATTTTGAAAACCCTGAACTGTTTTGAAGGATGCCAAGGTGCTCTTCATGCTGTTGATAACATTGGTCCCTCTTAATACATTCATGGTGTTAACTATTCATATTTCTTCGATATCCTTATGAAATCTGCTTGCATCCTGCATGCTTGTGCACGAGCATAGATGAGGCATTTCTGCTGTTTATTCTCTCAGATTCTGCGTGCAGAGACCTGTGGTCATTCCATCTCGGCCCTAGTGACGCAAACAGGCTTAGATGCTTGAGTTGCCAATGCATGGTTACTTTGTGCCTTTGCTTGGTGGGAGAATGCTCACTTCTACTGCACCAGCTTGAATGTGACACCCCCCTCCCCTCACAATGTGTCCTAATATCTCAGACTTCAACAGAACACACTACAGGCTTTAACAGATAGCATCTGCCATTTGCTCAAAGCCCAGCCCTCTCCCTCTGTGTAAACACAGCAAGATCAGGCAGAAGGCAGGTCTGCTCTTCCTGGATTTTCTTGAGCTCAGCTTCCTTTTTCTCCCCCAAGGCTAAACAACAAAACCACTCCTCCTGCCAGCCTCTTCATCCCCCCTTTCTCTTAACAACCCTCCATTTCCTATTGGGATTTTGTTTCACCCAGCTTGCAGCGCTTCATTTCAATAATTTAAAAGAACAGACTTATCCCATAATTTTTTTGGTGTACTAGGACACACTGCAGTTCATGTGTGACAGTTTGCATGGATTTACAGGTTTTTATAATCTAGTTTTCATAAAACTAACCCTAAAATTAAAAAAAATATGGTGATGCTAGTAATCTCTCTAAATTATGAGATTCCCTCAGGTTTTCTTGTCTGTCATTCAGAGCAAGAGAGAGACCAGTGTCAATCTGTTTATTAATTAGTAGTAAATCTTTTAAAAATATATATTTTATTGATTTTTTTTGCAGAGAGAAAGGGAAAGGGATAGAGAGTTAGAAACATCCATGAGAGAGAAGCATCGATCAGCTGCCTCCTGCACACCTGGAGATATGCCCGCAATTAAGGCACACGCCCTTGACCAGAATTGTACCTGGGACCCTTCAGTCCCCAGGCCAACGCTCTATCCAGTGAGCCAAACCGGCTAGGGTGTAAATCTTAATTTATGTTTTATTTTCTATAAAAATAACTCTAAGGCCCTAGCCAGTTTGGCTCAGTGGGTAGAGTGTCAGCTCAGTTCATGGACCCAAGGGTCCCAGGTTTGATTCTGGTCAAGAGCATGTACCTAGGTTGCAGGCTCAATCCCCAGCCCCAGTTCTGGGTGCATGTGGGAGGCAATCAATCGATGTGTCTCTCTCATATCGATGTTTCTCCCTCTTAGTCTCTCTCCCTTCCACTCTCTCTAAAAATCAATCATCAATGGAAAAATATTCTTGGGTGAGGATTAAAAAACAAAAAAATAATTTAAAAGTTCAAAAAATTTTCTTCCTGTAAAATAAACAAATACTCATCCAATATCTTTCTAGGTAGCTGAACACTACTAACTATTCACACTGGTGACAACTATATTTATTTTATTTATTTATTTACTTATTTATTTATTAATCCTCACCACAGGATATTTTTTCCATTGATTTTTAGGGAGAGTAGAAGAGAGCGGGAAAGACAGAGAGAAACATCGATGTGAGAGAAACACATCAATTAGTTGCCTCCTTCATGAGCCCAGACCAGGGCCTGGGCTGGAAGGACCCTGCAATCGAGGTAGGTGCCCTTGATTGGAATCAAACCCGGGACCCTTTGGTCTACAAGCCAATGCTCTATCCACTGAGCCAAACAGGCTAGGGCTATGTTTGTTTATTTTGCAAGAAAATAATGTTCCTAATGTTCCTAATTGTCAAACCTCACCTGAAGTTCTGAGAATTAAAGCTGCAAGGCCAGTGAAGCATTAAAGGCATGACCTGAATAAATGGAGTAGCATTTTGTCTTTCTTAAAGCTGTAGTTCAATAGAATTTTCTAGCAACTTGAGTGATAGAATTTTTGTCATTTTTAAATAATAAATAAATCCAGCTTGGAAAAAAAAGATCAGACTAAACGTAAGACATTTATTAGGCTTCCAAATATAATGGTACAACTTATATTTGTCTACACATTTTTCTCAGATTACATTTATTATCATATAAGTTTTAGCTTTCTACATTAAAAATTAATATTTAGTAGTAGTTTCAATATCACTGTGAGCTATGTAAAGGAAAAAAACATTATTTCTATGAGGCTTTTACAGTCAATTCTTAAATATGATTATCCAAAGAAGAATTTAGACTAAACTATAAATTATCTCAATACATACTTGTTATCTTTGAGATATGTAGACACATCAATCCATCTATCATCACCATATGGTCAACTAAAGCTGTGAGTCCTGGGCAGAAGAGGGATTTGCCTGTTGCTGTAAATGGACTAATCTAGTCAGAAAACAACAACAACAACACACACAAAAAAAACCCAAAAACAAAAAACTAAGAGTGACATTTGGTCAATCACAATGTCATTTGATTTTATCCTATGGTGGCAAATCCACTGGTTTGTTTAGGATAGAAGAGCTGTTTGTGGTTTTTCTGAAATTATCTAATAATTTAATTAAGGATGTCTAATGCCCATCTTGACCTGCCATATATGAGACTGACAATACACAGCTTCATAGACATCTTAGAATAAGTACTAAAACCAGAAACATAAAGTCACTGTTCTATTTTTAAAAGAACATGATAATATATTGAATATATAAAATATATAATATATTATCTGTATATATTTTAACATATATCACATGTATGAATATGTTTTATGTATATGACAATAGTCTTAATTCATGTCTTTTAAAAATAAAGCTTGTAATCATGTTTTGTAAATAGATATGACATTTTATCATTGGGTCTACTTAAGTGCTTTACCAAAACAAGTAATCTGACTGTTGGAATAATATTTTCTTGTGCTATAATGTTTAACCAGTATGACCCCTACATTCATTATTATATCACTATTTAATAGAGATTCCTACTTCTTATATACCTCTCTGTGTTTTCAAATTTTATTAACTAAACTACTGTGCATTTGCTTCTTTAGCATCCATATAGCAGAGAAGAGAGAGCTGGGAGAGTCCACCATTATTCATGCACTTACAGGATGGTTACCGGAAGTCATTCCTCTCCAGTAGGTTTGACCATTAACTTTCTTGTGCAATTTTTTTCTTTCTCCCCTTGTAAAGTTTCTTTAACCAAAACATTTGTACTTTTTAAGGAAATTTCAAGGAAAGTTACATTTTATAAAAATGTTGGGGAGAACAACATTTTATAGTTTTATATAAAATTCTTTGAGAATTTCAAGATAAATTCTGTTTCCTTACATATAAATTGTAAATTTAGTCCTATAATATCTGAATTACAAATATTAAAATAATGTTATTAGACATTATGCACTTTGATATATTATTTCTAATTAAAAACGATAGTCCTGAGGAGATTATCTTATTTAATCACCCATATAACCCCATCACCAGGTATATATCATTATAAGTGAGGAAACTAAAGCTCAGAGTGTTTGACCAAAGCCGTTCATATTGTTCCTGGAGGTGATAAAATTGGAATCTAAGTATTTTTGAGCATATTATCAATTCTGATGTTGATTTTTACAAGAAAATCAAAGCCACATACAGTTATCAATTTGCATCATCATTGATTGATCTTTGACTGATGTTACCACTCCTCAGGGTCCAGCTTAGAGGGGAATTGAAGACAGCCCTCATAACTTGAATATTAGATATATGATTTGCAAATATTTTCTCCCATTCTATAGGTTGCCTTTTCATTTTGTTGCTGGTTTCCTTTGCTGTGCAGAAGCCATTTAGTTTCATGTAACTTTCCTTTATTTTTGCTTTTGTTGCCTTGGTGTCAAATCCAAAACCTCAATGTCAAGACCAATGTCAAAGGTCTCACCACCTATATTTTCTATGGAAATTTTATGGGTTTTAGGTCTTATATTCAAGTCTTTAATCCAATTTGAGTTGATTTCTATGTATGGTATAAGATAATGGCCTAATTTCATTCTTTTGTATGTGGTGGTTCAGTTTTTCCAGCACCATTTATTGGAGAGACTATACTTTCCACATTGTATATTCTTGGCTTTTATTTTTGTCATGAATCAATTGACTGTGTATGTGTGAGTTTATTTCTGGGCTTTCTATTCTATTTCATTGATCTATGTGTCAGCACTAAATAGAATGTTAGTTGTGGGCTTGTCATATATGGTCTTTACATTGAGATATGCTCTTTCTATACTCAAGTAGTTGAGAATATTTATCATAAATGGATGATGCATGACAAAGGGCGCATAAAGATAACGCCTGCCCTCCGGTCTGTGGAGAGAATTACAGTTGGCCCTTAGATGTGTGTTTAATTATAAGCCTGCCCCTCAGGCCAATGCATTAAAATAAGCAAGTAAGCCTCTTTCATAGAAAGTTTGCTGCCTCTGCACTGTGCTTGGGGTGGGCAAGTCTTCGGGAGCTTTTGAAGAACCATTTCTGAGGTTACAATGACCTCATGGATGGCTCTTTGGATGCAATCCCCATGGGCTTTCAAAGCTAGATGTTTTGTGGGATCATTTATTAGGTGAAGGTCTTAAAAGTTTGGGTGTCAGATGTGAGTTTCAAACCCTTTGCACCTCAGGGGTAAACTCAGGGTTGTGAGTTCCCTCTGGTTGTGGGTCACCATGCTGGGTTTATGGCGATATTGTGTCTCAGTCTCTCCTGCTTGCATCAGTGTGGGTTCATTTTCATTCACCAGCCGTGTAGGAGCCACTCAGTTACTTTCCTCCCCCGCACCCCACCCCCTAGAGGTAACTGTTTTATATCTACCTGTAGATTCAGGATAGTCATGGGAATGGATGAATTCCGGGTTCTCCTATGTCTCCATTCTGAACCAGAATTCCTTGTTTGGTCTCTTTCCACCAGCAAAACCCAGCACATCATAGGCACTCAATTAAAATTTGTTTAATCAGTGAATATATAATGGTGTTTTAAACTAATATTTGAAATTAACTATTGAAATTAGTCTTTTAAAATAGTAAGTTGATTTTTTTTTTCTGTCAGTAATTTCTTGATGTGGAGTTTAAATCTTAATTTGAAAATTAGTGTTGATGTGTTTTATCAAAGCCCACAATATATGGACAAAGTCTGGGAGCTCTTGAAAGAAATATTGCCTGAATTTAAGCTGACAGATGAATCCAACTCTGAGAGCAAAATAACAGACGTAGATAGCAAATTAAAAGATGCAGGAAAAGAAGTGAATTATGGGAAAGAAGTAAAAGATGGCAAAGAAGTGAAAGATGGCAAAGAAGTGAAAGAAGGCAAAGAAATGAAAGATGGCAAAGAATTCAAACCTGAACCTTCAGTTACAACACTAAAAACACTTGAAAAAAGTGACAAAGTTCCAAAGGGTAAGACATTATATATCATACATTATTTAATATGGATATTGTATATAAATGCTTTACGAACACTGCTGAATTTAATGGTTCTTCATTGTTATTATCATGTATTAAATGTTGTGGAAATAATTAAGATCCTTCCTAGATAGGATTTCAGAACTTCTAAGGGTATTTGCTACATATTAACTATTGTTTCATATTTTACTCTCTTTAGAAATCAAAGGAAATTATACCATTTGATGATAGTAAATTAACATAGTATTAATATAGGAAGAGATATTAAGTTTTCAAGTTTCATCAAATTCATCTTTTTTATATGTTATATTTAGGATACAATGAACCAAAATAGCAAGGGACAAAGTAGTCCTGTTTATTTTTTCAGGAAATGTGAAATGACCAGGGATTAGATGATGATTAATTGATTATTTATTGTAAAGTGGAAATTCAAATTTAAGAAGAAAAAATTCGTTGTTTTTTTTTTACAAGTGTAGGATTATTTATTCTCTTAAGGCAGGGAAGGTATTGAGTAATTTTTTATTTCTAAAATATTTTATATAGCTATGTAAATAAGCAATAATGATGGTTAAATATTCTAGAAAATACTCAGCTGTCTTTATATTTTGATCTTTCAAATATTTATGTTTTAGAAAATATTGACATTTTATCCAATTATTTCTTATCAGGGTCTTATCTACAGTACAGTGCATAGAAATTATTATTGTAAATGTTCCTCAAAAATATACCAAGACCAAGTGTGTGAGTGATATCTGCCTATCATAGGCCCTTTTTGAAATAACCTAATATGCACTACTATGAAAGAAAGCAAAAAAAAAAAGCCTGATCAAATTTGTTTTATCTAGTATATCCCCAATTAATTTCAACTGGCAAGCCCTTTCTCACATATCACAAATTAACATTTATCTATCCATCCATTCATCCAACAACCCATTCATCCAATATACAATTTACTGAGTATAATTCCAATAAATGTTCCAGGGATTAGTGATGATAACTTGTTGAACAAAATCAGATAAGAAAGGTACTTCCTGAATCTTATTGTCTAGGGATAGAGACTAATATTCACTTAAAAATCATAACCACTTATTAACAAATAAGCCTTAAATGGAAATGAAGGAAACTATGGGAGTTCATATAGGGGACCTAGTCTATGGT